CGTTGGTTCATTACGCAATTTCTCTTCCGTCGTCATACTGCTGTTTGATAAGCGCGACATTAATTATGACGGGGACGTATTGGCAAGAGAGAGAATAGTGAGAAAAACGGCTGCAAATACGGAAGCTCTAACTTCTTCTACTTTTTAAACTTTCACTTTTTACAATCGACCGAATTGACTGCTTTGAAGAGAGCTCGTTTCAATCGCGAAAGCGCTCGACCAATAATTACGACTTTACGTAATTCGTAACTTCCCTTCCGTAACTCAAAATAATTCCGTAATTCCGTAAATCTGTAAATTACGTGCAAGCCTATTCGTAACCGGCGGTTTCCTGTAGCACGTTCGAATATGATGGTTGAGAAACTGGGTCGTTGGAGAAAGTTGCTGATTAATGAAATAAAAAGTTCGTTCAACAACTATAGCAGAAATATCAATTTAATTTTAAATGTTGACGAACATACATCTCAAAGTGATGATTTCACTTTGATTTCACTTAACTTAAGAGCAAATGACAAAATACTGCAAAATATAAATTTTCTATGACTTCACGATGCAAAAAATACTAGACCAATCTCTGTCATATTTTAGTAATCCGAGATGAGAATGACTCATGAGAAGGCAATTTTCGGGTTCTTTCAAATTTGCCTAACATCATGTTCAAATATTTTCCCATTGATGATGAAAGGAAGCTGGTGAATGTCATATGTACTTGTTAAATGTTCAGAATATTTTAATGATTGATCAATATTTTACGCGTGAAAGAGAAATTTTTCGGTTCTTACTACCTTTTTCTTGTATAGTTTCGTAATTGTGTTCTTTCGCTTCTGCAATTTTCTTTAACTTCTTGTTTTTCTTCATCAGTTTGTATATGATTAAGGCAAAGACAACGTAGAAGATCAGTGGAATAAGAAAACCAATCACAAAACTGATGATGTTGAACTCGAACGATTTCTTTTCTAAAAATTATATAACCTTAACAAAAACCTAAATATTACAGATTTCCTAACTGCATTGAAAGTTTTGGGTCTGTAACAAGCATAACTGAAAATGACAAATTCACCATGCATATTGAAATGTGAAAGTTGAATAATATTATCCCTAAATCGAAAGAAAACTTTCTTAAACAATAAATATTCCAGTAGGTGTTTCTCAAATTTCATGATTTTTTTAAGGAAATGAACCGTTGTCCGCTAAAGTCATAGTTCATTGTCATGAATTTTCGATTGGATTATTATATAGGTATTGGAACATAATCTGTTAGTATCTAATTACATTTCCTTTAAAATATTTCCTGAAACTTAATTCTGATTCAGGTTTCAGCCGAAATAATACATCAACAAAGTAAACACGGTTCACTAATATCGGCTATGCTTTATATACTATTTTCACACTTTTTTGCGCTGTACAAGCAATAATTAAAAACTAATTTGCGACATATCTACAATTTAATTAAGATAATGCACCAACTATTCTCCATGAATTCCGCATGAGGGAGTGAATTCTCATGATTACATCCAATTGAGTAGAGCAAAAGTAAATATTTGGGATTATGATAATTGAATTAGATTTATACCTGTTGGATTTCCTACATAAGAACCTTTGACAGGTCAAACGCATTTAATTATTTTTGTATGTGCTGATTAGTTACGATTTGGTTCTGGTTGAAATGAATACACGTATCCTACGCTCGTTGCTTTCATAACCTGATTGGTTTCAGGTCTCGTGTCCGCTGGTATCCCCTATTCAAGCAAAGGATAAACCTATATATGTTTTATTTATTTCTGCCGTATCCTGGAATCTATTTTATTTGTACTATTTCTACCCTTAAAAAGGCTTGTGACCATGTTTTGAAAATAAAAGAGAAATTTAAAAAGTTACTCACTCAGCAGTATTGACGGACTCGTTCGCAAGCAAATTTCATTTTCACAAGGCGTTGTTGACACGACGAATACACTACAGATAAAAAAGTAACATTGAGTGAAATAACCTTATTAAATACGGTTTGAGATAAAAATAGATTTTAGAGCAGCGCGTTGGTTATGTACATCTTGCACCGAACATTGATATTTTGACTCTTGTATCGTCGATTAAAAACTAGCACACCTGTAAGATTTTTCTCTGTTAAGTTTCCGATTCTGTCCTACAAATATTGCATGCTCCCCGACATTTCTCCGTCGCCTTCGTTTCTTGGATAAGACATCGATTGTTTGAGTGACGTTACAAGATGATCCCGAACTATCGCCAAGATTGACGACTTGCCTATCGCCAGTAAATCTGCCATGATGGTAGAATGGTAAAAAAGAAAAAGTTGCTAGAAGTTAGGAGTAATAATTTAAGAGAGACTGGGTCTGTTACATGTGAAATTGTTTCATGTAATTGATGTTTCATTTTACGAATATTCCCGTCTGTAAGTCATCAGCAAATTTCAATCTGTAAACTTGTTTGATTATTGTCGTCCATGGTTATCATATAATAACAGTCATATCAAAAATTATTTGCACTACTTTTACAGCAAACCTGTAAACTGGCAACGCTACGGCGATATATTCTGTGGTTGAGCTCTGTGCCTTGATCAAATTCTCCATCTTGAAATGTGTGTTTTCACCAGAAGATTCATCATGTACGATGATAAATAAACAGCTGAATGGAATGAACATATTTACAAAATGAACAACGAGAGCAATGCAAATATGCAAAAATATACTGGCATGAAGGTCAAATGACTAATATATTGGATGTTTCCCCGTGCCTTGATTCCCAAAAAATTCCCCCTATACTTTACCATTGCAAACAAATAGTTTAAGTGTTCAAAATTAAATTATGATTTTTAGTAAAAATATTAAAACAAGTGCCGCTGATGGGAAGTGATTGGGCATCATATGACTCAGATGAAATTACAGATAAATTAAAATGAATATCCTAATTAGTTTTTTTTCCTTTTATTTTGTTTTGAAAAATAGGTTGATAGGTTACTTCAGAAGACAAGAGAACAACAGCAATTTGAATTTAGAAAATCAACCATAGGTCGTCGGTACGGCTATACCTTTATTTTGGGTATAGTATATTTAGTAGTTGTATTCTCACAATACAAACCTTAGTAAACCGTTGCTGTCATCGGGTTTAGTCACGGTTATTTTGCGAATCCCGTTACTGTCGGTGGCATCAAAGGAAGCGATTGGTTTTGCTATTGCATCCGGTGCTGCAGAAGAAAAAAAATGGAAAAGCCATCCTCAAATATAGTAACAGTAAAAGTAATTAATCAATTTATGCGAACTAGTTTTTCATGGCGTAATACAAAAGATTTTAAACAATTTAGTTTTCTCATTCTGTAATATGATAGTATTTAGACGAGATTTTATTTTATACAAGTATTTTCGATTCTTTTGCAGACTGTGACCAGTATTTGGCTATTTCTTCGTAATGACAATGAATAGTCATACGCAGAGGTTGGTACAATATTACCTCAAATTCTGTTGGTTTTATTCATGGTAAACAACAGATCTGTATATGAGATTTCCTTTTGCCAACAACTGTGGCTTGTATGGAATAAAATATTATTTTAACTCATAAATTGACATCAAATTGCGGCGTAAAAATATTGATCTGTGGCTTTGAAATAATACCGATCGAAGTCAGGTAAGTATACCGTTACCATATCTAAACATTGATTGATAGCACGAGCATATATAGTTTCGAATCGGATCCAAAATTATATAGCTTAAACATATCACTACGTTGTAATAAAACACATTGAATGACTTCTTACACAAGTGCTTATTAAGAAGTTTATCAGGTATATCTCATTATTTCCTCACCACGGATTCTCTGATCTGTTTTCTTTGATTATATCTATGTTAGGTGTTGGCGGGCATGTAATAGCCAACTTACAGTGTTGTAATAAAAATGTAATAATAAATATACTGATATAAATTTGTAAGGATAAGTTGCATGTAAAAAAGAAATTGAACTTCTGTGGCTTGACGTCTACGTCCCATTCAATCTGCATTTATAGGCAAAGATTTCTATACTTTGAATGAGTTATCTATTGCTGAAATTCTGCGTACAGTTGATAAAATAATAAAAACCTGCTGGTTTTCCAACACAATATCCTTTTGCATTCACTGCCTCGCTCAGTCCCGCACATCCGATAACTTGTATTGATACTGTGCAGTTTCTGTTGGGTACCGGGGTATATGTACGCGGCATTGATATGTTGAATGAGTCCATATGGGGAGAGTTTACATTCGATCGTGTTGCAATTGTAGTGCAATATCTCGTGACCTGAAAAATTGATAGGTAATACTCAACAGAGAAAGATATTCCGAGCATTTGCAGTTTATTTTTTATTCGGGGCATCTGAAGCCATTCAAACTATAAATCTGAGAGACGGAAAGAATAGAAAGATGATTGGGTCATGTCTACTTCGATGTCCTCATTTCTCCATTTTCAAACCTGTCTCTTACTTTCAAACCTGCAACGTTTACTGGTTGGTTATTGTTTTTCCAAATCCATTGTATAGAACAGTTGGTCGATAGAGATGCAGACGTCACGGGTTGTGTTTTTCCATCTGTTTTTGCAGTTGTAGTAGCTGAATAAGTTGAGCGGCATTCATCGTCTGACACACAAACTTTGATCTGATATATAATATACATGAATATATTAGTATTTAAGGGAGGAATTCTTTTTGGGAAAAGTCCAAAATGTGGCGTCTCACATATTTTTACATTTGTTCGACTTGTGTGTCTGTATATATGCATAGCAACTCTTGAAAATTTCGAATGGCTTAATTTTGGAATAAAATTGTAGACAATGCGACATATTACTATACGCTATACTTTTGTGTATACTGATATAAACATTTTGCCGGAAATAACGTTGCGATATACTTCCTGTTTATATATTCTGGACGTGATATCTCGATTAAGAGTTCTGGTGAAAAATAATACCAGTATCACAATACCGACTCACCGTTACATTATATTCAGTAGTTGTCTTCAATCCTGAAATCTCACGGATCACTGATGTGTTTGATTTAGGAATAATGAATGTCGAAAAGCTTTCTTCTTTGGTAATATAATTATTTGCTGTAATTCTGAAATGAAATAAACATATTTTCTTAGCGAACCTTCGCCCAGACAAATTAACGCTCTCATAATCAGTACGGGTACTTCGGCGTAGACGTGAGCTTCGACTGGTACGCGAAAGTAAAAAATTGTGAATGAATGCTCAGTTTAAGGGCGTTTGTCTAATAGGTGACTTAAAAATATTCACCTTTTTGAAAAATTTATAAAATAAACTTTTAACCAACTTTGTAAAATAACGTGTTTTAATAAGAAGAATAAATAGGATAGTTACTTGTGTCGAAAGCCAACTGCATATCTGCTTGGATTCCAGGTAACGAACAAACTTCGGCTACATGATGAATTTGTGATTGATGTAATCGTTGGATTTCCATCAACTGTGATGAAGGCGCAAATATTAGAAGTGTTTAATATACTTTAGTTATCCAATTTTTTACTCAAATTGACTGCGGTAATCAATTCTGGAATAGTATTGGAACCTTTTGACAAATACAATTCGGTATAGATTAGCTCTGTTACTAGTAAAATGTTGTTAATTTGTGGCAAAAGGGTTGGTTCAACTGGTTATGAGCCTGTTGTCACAAATGCAGTTCCAAATATTTGAACGAAAATTTAATCAAAGAACATCACCAAAGAATAATGGCTCTAAGTTTTTGAATTTAATGTTAAGAAATATAAACAATTACCTTTGAAGTCAAAAAATTCCTTGCTTGAATTATGAGCACGACAATAGTATTTCCCTATGTCCAAAATTGTTGCGTTGTCAAAGTGTAGCGTGGAGGAACTTCCATCTATTTTCTGATAAATTCCATTTTTTTTAAAATCTGTTGTAACTTGTTCATGAGAGGATTCCTTATACCATTCTGCAGTTGTGTTCACGCAATTCTTTACTCGACATATTTTTTCGTGGTGTGACGGGTCATCATCACTGCCGATTTCCGGTGTTGAATGCTCTGCTTTAGATAATTTTCAGTAAGTCATTTGTGCAAAAACCTAAGATGGTAATAGCTGATTCGGCGACGCGAGGCGCTGTTGCTGCAATGTTGGGGCTTTGTCAGATACGTTTGCTCGCTTTGTAGTTAACGTAATACTGGACGAGACAAAGGACATTTTTTTGCATAATGTAGAAAGTAATCTAAATGATATTGAATAATTTTCAGATAATTTCAATTATAATTCTATATTCTCAATTCCCATTCCTAATTTTATCTAAATTTGATGCTCAAATACCTGAGTGAACTAATGAATTTTCATCTAGTATATTTGTCATGTTAAGTTGAACCTAATATTTTATTTATTTGCTGAAGGAATTGCTTCCGTCGTAAATTATTTATCGCTGTAATTAATCTGTAAATTATTATTAATGTAAGCAACAATTATTTGAAACTTTTGTGGGTAATATTGTCGCAATCTATTGATCATTGTATCGTATTTATTATTGGTTCGTGTTAAATGAAATTATGTCTACTAACAAGTTGCGAGTGGAAGAACATGAACAAACTACTTTATGTCATTTGTTGAATTCGTAAAAAATGCAACAATTCCAAGACTTGGTTGCTATATAGTTCATACCTCTTCAGGTATCGGTTTGTGTATTGGTCTCAGTGGTTATAATTTAATGCAAATAGCGATTACAGGATATATTTAAAAGAAATTAAATCAAAGTAACATTTAAAAACAACAAGAATTGCGACTGTGAAACGCGGAAAATATTCTTCCTAGTACGTTTAGCACGTTCGATTTTGTCAACTAGTGATTAGTTGTGGGGTTCAGATTAGAAGAGATTTTAGATTTATTTTAGATTTTAGACTTGAAACCCAAAGTCGGAGTAATTCAAACTTTTGCGACCCTTGTTATCTCAAAATTGTCGTGTATTGAAATGTTGCTTTCAATTTTGGAAAACATTTCTGAAGACGGAATTTACCTTCTTCTACGGCTATACCTGATAGATTTGTGCTGATACTCGGAACAACGTTATTTTTGCTTCGGTTTCACGCAATTTATCTCATTTTTTTGTCATGGCTTAGATTAGAAACTATTAAAAAAATAACCTGATTGACAAATGTAAAATAATAGTTCATGGCAGGTGGTGTCAACCCATTGATAAGTGTCTCTTCCTATTAACAAGCAATCTTCTCCACTAGCATCATTGTTCGGCTGATTGTATTTCCTTCAATAAATGTATAAATCAATGAAATTATTAATCAATTTATTTTTTCAATATCAGATTTCGTATATATTCCATTTGTCGTTACCGACAACGCAATATCATAAATGCTTTCGGAAATCAGAAATTCTTCTTCAGAAATTCTTATGTTAAATTTTATGAAATTTATACAGGATAAAATAGAATTACGCAATGGTCTATTTATCATTATTCAAGATCTAACCAGTTTTGATATCCTACTTCTCCTCTCATTATCATATCAGTACCATCCTGCCATTTCCAATCTCCTTCTGTAGCTTTGTCGTTACCTCCAATGAAGTAAGAATTAATTGATCCAACGAGTCTGGAATTTTCGAACAAGAATGAATTTTAATCTAATAAGATACGTCAGGGTGGTCCAAGGTTGCGAGATTGGCAAGCCGCAAAAGTTTTGAAGATGTCTTGCGGGACGTAGTCGGAGAAAACCCAAAAGTGATCAAAACATCGCGATTTTACTCACTTTAAATATATTTAGGAATGGGGGGTTACCTCTCTGATCGTTTTTTTAAGGAAGATATATATAGCCTTCATTTATTTTAATTGCTTCCCGAGAAATTCATTTTCGGTATATTTGCTCGTGTTTGGTTTTTAATGTCGCTTAAATTATATTCTTTTGTGACAGACATTACTTTAAAACACACCAGACACTGTGGTTTCACGTTTTTGTGGGTAAGGAAATAGGTTTCCCCCCAGTTCACACCGGTCACCTTTTCTACACTCATTTTGTTACGAATTGTTATATTTGGTTAATTTTATTACTTATAGCATGAGCGGCCTGCTCATGACCTGGTGTCATCGTCAAAGAACAACCAAGCCTAAGTTGGGACTCCCAGCTAAATAAAAACAAGATCGCGCGGCGCTAAGTCAGCTCTGCGGATCGTCACTGCTGTCACGTGTCTAACACTTGAGAATAAAGGAGTGTTTTACTGAAATAAGGGCACTAAAAGTTATCTCCAAATGAGGAGTTACTCGATGCGAACTTAAGACACGAAGTTTGGCTAAAATGCACGACTTTTCTCATCGGCGTCGTCCTGTCTGAAACAAGACAATCCATTCTCCTTGTACCGATCACATGACGTCATTCCCATATTGTCACTGTCTTGACGTTTTTTAATGAAACATTGAAAATCCCACATCGGGATTAGGAAATGGGCAATTACCAGTTGGAATAGTTTAAAAATAACTCAAAAATGTTCTTATGAAAATCGAAATAAGATAGATTGTTTCGGTAATAAATGGAGATGGATCGACTTGTCTTGCGCCTCGGAAATGCAGTAGCTCGGAATTGATTGAAAAATCAAGTTTTTGGTCTTGGCTTGCACCCGACACTGAATTTATAAACTCACTCGAAAGTTGCATTAATAACATAGGTCATTCTTTGATTATCAACTTTTGCCAAGTATCCTCCCAGTGATTCGCAGGTAGCTTTTGCTCCTGCGTAATTCTTTCTGTTATCGTTGAAAAAAGTCAGTTCATACTGATCCACGCATTTTTTTGCCAACGGAGCTATATAGAAAACAATTCGATTATAGCAGTTGGTAACACTCTTATTAAAAGGACACTAATCGATCTGTCGATGATAGTCGTCAAGAATACTTACTAGTCGACGATATGTTAAAACGTAAAAATATCACTGGTTTTACTGTATGAATACCGAGATAATAATTAGATTTACCAACAGAATTACAAGTATAAAAATCTGCACTTTCACTTTTAGAAAAAATTCGTTTGTTCAGTTTGAAACATTAATGTTCTTTACAGCTGTAAATATAATTTTGTTTCTTTCAGTGTACGCAAATATCACCAAAGACAAACCATATACATATATATTTTGCATTGCGCGTTGCATAAAACGTGAGAATACCAAAATTTATCTTACTTTGTGCGTGAGATACTCCAAGTATAGTTGACATAAGGATACAGCGTAACAATTTTCCCAACGCGTTCATTTTCATATTCTCCTCAATAAACTCCGGATTATAATTTTTCCCGGTTATTTTCTGTAAACCATATAGGACGTGGACTTTGATGCACAGTGTTTTCCAAGATTTGTATTAGATAATTGCTAAAACTATATATTTAAAGTAATTTTAAAACCTATAATCGATTTTAGTGAATTATTGACCATCGTAACATGCTCGCTCATATTGTTTTTAGTTTTACGAATCTTGTATTCACACATCTCTCCTCAATAAGCTATCAGTAATCTCGTTCGGTCATATGTATCATATACATATATATAAAAATACCCTCAAAAACAGAATAAACCCTTTAAAACAGTGATGAGTTAGTCAGGTAACATTTTTTTAAAGTTATATACATACGAAAAAATACAAATATAAAGGGTGGGCCAAAACACTTTACCATCTTTGTAATTTTGAACATTGTCTGAATGTAAAAATGGTAACATGTTTGGCCCACCCTGTGTATAAATAAACAAAATAACGTTTGAAAATAAAATAAAAAATAAAGCCAGCCAGTTTCGTTGCAATCCGCGTAAAGTGGTCTGATGGCCGTCATGCTATACAGGCCAATATAACATCATTTAAAGTACATCTGTTCGTTTCATATATTTTACAAATGTATCGCTGGGTTGGCCATATATATATATATATGTTGTCACAAAATAGTAGTATATATAGATACAAGCTATGCTACAAAAACGCGACATATCATGGCTGCAATTCAAAAGAAAATCTATAGAGTGATCTGTAATTTTTCATCTCAATACCTGCCGTTCAATTCCATTGCTTCGAAACACTATCACTAACGTCACTAATATACTATAAATTGCGACCGTTTTCCCATTTCACTTCTATTATTCGCAAATAACTTCGTTCAAGATGTCGACCTGCGTCTGTCAGTACAACATTAAAATTAACTTAAGATATGATATGATTAATTGCGAGACAATACCAACTTCCTTTCACATTTCACTTTTATTATCTGCAGATAACTTTTTCAAAATTTCGACATCCGTCGGTCAGCACATCAACGCAACATTAAATTTATGATACCTACTAATTGGCGCTATCATATGTTGCAAGACGATACCAACTTTCTTCTAACCCGGTCAGGAGTAATAGTCAGGCAGGGGCATGTCTTATCACACCATTGATGATGTTTAGGATACGTAGGCATGATTACTGGAAATACCAAAACAATGTTGCTCCTTGTTGACTCTGGTATGGTTAAACTATGTGGCTTCTCCTACGCGCTTCCCATGTAGTGAAACGATATGCATTTGAAATGCACACACACCGGGTTTATATTAACTAATTTTCAAGTGTGCTACCGAATATTTTGCCCTGTGCAATAATGTGTTACACTGTTTTCAGACACAAAGTGGGTATAGATTCATCCTATAAAATATGGATTGTTTTGCTAAATTGTTGATGTTGTTAAAATATTGCTTTGCTCCGCAACGGATGGGCTGATTTTCAGTACTTAGAAGGTCACTGTTTTTTCCAAGGCCTACAGCGCCCGATATGTAAACACCAAAATTGTGCTGTTTTATTTTAATTCATGAAAACTTTATTGACATTTTACCTCCCTATAGATATATTTGCATTGCTCTCTTATTATGAAGATGATAATATATCTTATATATAGCTATGTCACATAAATTTCAGAAACGTATTAGTCGTATTATTAACTCAATCTTGGCCGAAGACCTTATTAATTTTGTATAGAGAGCACAGGAAATAATTGAAATAAAAGGA